TAGCAGAACAGAGTCATGACGCGTCTKTGGTACGCTGAGGCATGGTCACRGCTTTACTGCGGAGGGCGYYGTTCCCTGYTGCGGAAGGCCTYGTTCACYGTGATGCAACAGATGTTATTGGAAACTCTTTGTTACTTCATGTCGCCCGCTCTGTTGTGCCTCTTGCTAGCATGATTAACTCTCCATTCAAGAAGAAGAATAAGAAGAAGAAGAGAAATGTTTTCAACATCTTGCCTCCTCCGAAGAAGGAACTACGCCAAACTCTGCTGCAGACGTACTCATCGAGGGCAAGAAATCCATCGAAACTACCAATCCGTATCTGGATGAATAATTACAAAAACTTGAGGAGAATTGGATACGTGAGCTACTAGGTCATGAACAAGTACTAGTAGATTCCACTCTAAATTCATTTTCATTGTGCTTAATTTACTGCTTCTTCATCAGTCGGAATGACAATACATTTGAAAACAGTGTGGGAAAGTCTCGACAACGACTGCATTGTAAAACAAAGTATATTCAATTCCTACACAAAGAACTCCGAGGCCAGTATGCAAATTKTGTCCAACTCGTAGGAGCTGATAACCGGCAAAAGTTTCTGATAACGGATGAGATGTTTGGCGAGTTTGTCTCCTCAATTGAAGCATGCAGTGATTTCGTTTGGTCGAAGAAGAATAAAGTTTGCCCTCTTGAGTCTTTTCTTTCAAAACAGAATTTGAGTTCTGGTTCTGGCTGGTTACGAATCATTTTATTCCAGCATGAAGGAGATATGAAGCCCTACAAAGATCGATGCATATTGATAGTTTTTCTTCATTCCATTATTCGGGGGTTCTGTGGGAATAGTGCCRTATTATGTGTAGCACTTGGAAAAAAAGGATCAAAGAGTGACCTCCAGTGGCTCCGACTGCTTACCAATGATATAGTTTGGACTTTACTTCCACCAATTCGGGGACGAGAAAGAGAAAGCAGAAAAATATCCCATGCAGCACTAAAAAGTRTTGCAACAGCTCCTCTGACAGCTACAACAGCCTCAGTTTCTGGTGATGGGTTAGTAGCATCGTCGGCTCATAGACAAGAAAAAACAAATGTCTCCCCCAAGATYGTTCCGGTATCAGTATCATTCACAGGTGGGAAAGAGAACAGCACTTCACCACTGACTGTCCCCAGCGATTCACCATCATCAGCATCTGCCAAGGAGGATACAATGTCAGGAGATAGTTCAGTATACATGTCAGAATCACCACCACCACCACCACCACCAAAAACTTCATTGTCAATGCAGTTGCAACAGACCCCTCTTTTTTCACAGCAGTCACTATCAGATACCCCAGAAACGCAAGTAAAAAAGAGGGCCTGTCTTGCTCCAACTCCACAAGTGCGATCTCCCGTTTGTAATAGAGCTTTATTCAAACCTGTTCACCACAAGAAGACAACTGAACACACCAATCGTTTCTCTCAAGAGTCCAGACACTTTATAGATGCCATCAGCGCTGCTCGGAATGACCAAGATCTTGAAAGACTAGCCCTAGACTTTGTTTCACTGCRAGCTGGTGATGATGGCAGCTTATTAGGAAAAAGGATCTATCAGTTCCGCTTACGGTCGGTAGGCGCAACTACRAGAGGAAAGAGCCGTAACCAGTACTTGAGAAAGGCAGCACAGTGCGTAATTGATTTCATCCAGAGTACTGTACGGACGAATGCATGTGATGCTGAAAGTGATAAAGACTTGCAGAAGTCGGTGCTCATGCAGGCCATTGAGCGCAATTTTAATATGAAGGCTGTGAGCTGTGAACCGGAGACACCAATCTCATCACTGGAAGTACTTGAAATCCGGAATCGGTCTGGATGGAGTGTATCAACATCAGTTATAACTTCAATTATAAAAGATGTCTTGACTCTACTCCGTAAGAAGAAGATGTTGGTATCAGATAAGAAGACATTTGAAACACAGCTTCGAACAAAGATTGGCCTGCTTGAACGCGTTAGCGCAGTCCCTTCAAAWTTTGAATATGTTGAGTGTTATGTGACAAAAGAAGATGTTGAAAGATGCGTCTACTATTATATTGAGAATGTACCTTTACTTATGGAAAGACTCGTATCCAGCTGTATGATGGAAGGAGAGATGGAAGATTCTATTGAATTTTCAACGCTTGAAAACAAGGCAATCTTTCGCTTTGGAGCTGATCGGGGGGGGGGGGGAGACCTGATCATGATGATTGCTCTTGCAAATTGTCGTAAAGGCAATCACGGACGCTTCTCTATTCCTATTGGTGTGGTAGAGGGAGCAACAGAAATATACTCAAACCTAGTGAATACTTTGCATTCCCCTACTCGAAAAGCTATCCTTGAGCAGATTGTCAACCAACAACTTCTTATGATTCGAATTCAATTCTTCCTGCCGGGTAATACTTCTGCAGCTCCGCAAGACGTGAAGTGTCTCTTGCTACGATTGGTTGGTGGTGGTGTGAAGCGACAGGACCTATCAAGTACAAAGATTGTGTGTACTRTTGGTGGTATTGATTATGTCGGTATACCACACACACAAATGCCRCAATGGAAATCAAGAGCGYATGGACGCGTCATTGTTGATAACGCCTCCATCACGGGGGACCCGCATTTGGTGACACACAATGGTGAACAACAACTGCACCTGAAGCTACAACTAGTTCAATCACAACATTATTATATTGGTTGTAGAGTGCGAATCGCGACAACGATGGAAGATATATTGTCTTTTGAATTTGACCAAGGCGTGGACACAAAAGATATCGATTTCAACAGCACAATGGTGGATTGCTTGCATCTAATTGGTGTACCACCATGTGAAGATGGAAAAATGTGCACTACAGTTTACGGCCTTTCAACTTGTGGATCATCTTTCCCCTGTCCCAAGTGTCTATGGCCACTACGTGAAGCAGTTGCGCCAACTTGGATAAGAGACCACACTAGTACAGAAGAAAGCGACACCAATACTACACCAGCAGCAGTAGTACAAACGGATGATTTCACTGAAAGAACTGGCAAATACAGTCRGAATGAATCSTATTATCATTTTTCAGCACTTGTTGGTGATCAAACTTGCGATCCATCACTCAAGGTGAAGAAGGATGTGTTTAGTGTCATCCACAAGCCATTATTACATATTGATGACRACCTTCTGTATCTTCACACCGGTGATCCAATGCATGTGTCCCAAGGCATGATGACTCACTTGACAGAGGAAACTGCTGTCCAACTCCAGAAAGCAACTGAATCRGAAACAGAAGCTGAACCTGAATTCAKAAAAGACCAAACAACCAAAGTGAAAGCTTTCATTGAGGTTATGGCATCRCGAGCAAGTTCTTTGAATTATAAGCATGCACAGAACCGATACAAGGAAGAAGACTGTCTCGTAAAGTTGGCATTTAAGAACCKGYGTGCAGCTGAAGACRAGGACSACACAGACAGATGTTATGAAGCTTATACARATGCAGTTATGAGAAGAGATGAAGTAGGTCAAGGACTCGGTTACCTGRAAAYGTCTCGGAAACTCAACGGAGCTGAAGAGTTGAAGTCTCTTCTCCGTACTTTAGAGAGAAGCAAGAAGAAGAATATTACGAAAGCTGTATATCTTTTCATGAAAGCTATCAAGACCTTTGCTGGTGATTTCAATAAGAACCACGGGGGTTACGAGTTAACAAATGGTCGGGGAATCAAGGCGCTACAGAGCTATGAAAAAATTTATAACTTGGTGGTCAATGGATGCAATAATCCTGCTGTCGTTAATATCGTGACTTGGTGGAAAGCTTGTGCTAAGCTTCTCTTGAAAATTTCGACTGCTTTGAAATCCCAGGACAAGCAGCGCAACTTAGACGTCCTCGAATTGAAAGAGAGCGTTGCTAACTTTACACAGCTATGGATAAAGCGTTTAAGAACTTATGAAARCAAGAACCCCATCTACTGGAAGATGCACATGCTATTATGTGCCTTGATTCCCTTTATCGCAAAGACAGGCATGAGCGGCCGGTGCTCCACTGAAGGCTTTGAAAACAAGCATCATGTAATGAATCAATTGAAAAGACTCATGGCACCAATTGCACTCGACAAACTAAGATGTGAAAAGCTGTCACAGCGCCAGCAATCTTGTCTTATTCCAGGTATTGAACAAGTGCACTGCCTTTTTGAGGAAGAAGACTATAAAAAACGGAGAGGTCCCCGAGGTCGTTACGTKTCTTTTGGAACAAGAACCAAACTCCTAGAGGATATTCCTGTYGAGGAAACAGTTGCCGACAACAATGAAGCKGAGGASGCAGAGGACGCTGCTGRTGTGGAGGGTTATTTTGTTTCGAGAAAGAACAATTTGATTCCAGATGAACTGCAGGATGTCTATTATTACATGCTCCTCGGCAAGGTCTCAGATAGTTGGTCGCAAACCTTTCTCAACAGTGAATTCCTTGGATCAAAGGCATCCAACTCTTCCCAGTACATCCCTCCATAGTTCTAACATCATAGGAACACCAGCTGTAGCAGTAGCCTGATTTTGACAACAATCTGTACATATGCGCCTGACCTCAGTCGATGATGCTGGTTACGCTCTTGATGACTCTTACGGTACTGACAATCGACGGAAGTCAAAATGGCGAAAGGAACATCATGCTGGTGACCAGTATCCACTACGTACACTCATAAGAAAAGAAAGCAACAAAATGAAGCAAATATTGATTCCTGGTGGTACAAAATTGATGTAGAATTCTACGAGAAAATCGGATATCAAGGGGGTAGACTGTACAGTTTAAGATAATTTTGATCTGTCTAATTAGCCAATCAGATTGCTTCAAATAATTATTTGACTAGTTCGAATTCGTATTAACCTGAACTCTAAATCAGCGCCAAATTGAACCTAAAATGGCCAAAACGTCCGTTTCAAACACCTGTGGTAGCGTACTCGTACCGGTACGTATGGAGGCGGCTACGAATAGTAGTACGAGTTTTTAGGACCAACTGCTGCACCCCTCTAAAATACTAAATACTTCTAATATTTATGACCCCCACCCGCGCCGCCGCCGCCCTGCATGCATCCTCCATTACTGTATAGTCTACGGGACGTATGAATACCTACGGTACAGTATGGTACCCGTAATTAACGCATCACAAATACGATACGGTACTGTAGCTGCTGTAGCGTACGTACGTCCCTCAATTTGTCTTCATGTACTGTACTGTCTGTATCTGTGAAAACTTGAAACAGTTCTTGGCCTGTCTAGAGCATTATCATAGGTGCGTAATTAGTACGTACCGACTAGTACTTAATGTATTTACCGTACGACCATACTATGAGTTCGAAAGAGTGTACCGGTATCGCAGTCGGCGACGGATGTTCATTATGAAACGAGAAGATGTACGGTTAGAATTTTTTTGTATGAAAACGATGCACTAGCGGAAATCCAAGAACGTCAACAAGAATGTCATCATCGAAAAACGAAGAGTCAGAAAATAGCGCGGATGAGAAGCAGCCTCAGGGCTCCTCCCCTTTAGAAAAATGTAGTTTCGCTTGTCACCTGCTGCTTTTTCCAATTGGCCTTACGTATTTCTTTTGGTTGACAATTCCACAGGAGATCATCGAAAGTTCCTTGTAAGACCAGTTATCTCATAAACAATTTAGGTTGCTATTTTGATTTTGTATTGAATGTCGGTCTCACACTATTTTCTGGACAATGAATTCATCTACGCAGTGGCGAGAACTATTGTCCAAATAGAGACTATGCGTTGCACATACCCGTGTCTGCTCTATTTCTATTCCTTGCTGCCCCCTTTCTTTACGCGGCCTTGAACTCGTTCACTGTTCCGAATTTGACGTCTATTGAAACTGTGGAGGACGTCTACGCAAAATCATCGTCGAAGACCCAAATTCTGTCGAAGAAAATGCCGCCAACCGAGTAAGTTCTCGTTATGAAAACGTTGATTTATTTTGTAACCCCTTGGTTATCTCCCTGTACGTGGATCAATGATCTCACTGTTTTTTGTCGTAAAGATCTATCCTGCCAGACATTTGTGACCTAGATCCATCGACTCTAATTTGGCATGGTTGCAATCGGAATTGAATGAAAAATGTATTTTTGGGTTTCACCGAGCTTCGTTGACTTTGCCTGCGGAAGCGACGTAAAGACCTAGATGCTCTACCCTTAAAGTCGCTTTAAGGACCTCAACGTTTACTGTTCCTCTCTTTTCAAGCGACTGCAATATGACGATCTAGGAGCATAAGCAAATATTAGGGGCATTTGTCTCTAGTTCATTTCACACAATCAAAGAATAGACATCATCCGCATACTTACTTTATTCTCAAGTGGACGTAAAAAAAAACAATTGTCGGAAAATATTCCTTCAGCTCTCGTTGTCAGGAGGACAAATAAGGCCAATTTGTCACTCGCAAGAATGATTGCAGCATCTCCATTATTGGTCTCATAGATATCTAGTATTTCTATGTTCACTGGACTTTGCAGACCTTTTAATCTCTTGGGCATATCTTCGAGAAATATAGTTTCTGACACCCTATGATCAAATGGAACTAAAGAACTGGGGAGTTGCACCTTCAGCTGTATAAGTATTATCTGAGTCTCCAAGGTGAAATCCAAAGGTAAATCAAACCAATCAATCGATCCTCCTTCCAACTCGTTTGTATACTCATAGGTTCGTATTGGAGCTACATGTTCGATATCCCATGCTTCAAATGAAACGATGAAGTTCACAGTTTCGAAATGATCATTCCTAACATAGCACATGCCACCTTTACCGCATGCCGAAATTTGATCCAAAAAAAGGGATGACTTGAGCAGATGCATCAAAGGCTAATTGATTCGGGTTAGTATCCAGTCAATTTCATCGAAATACATATCAAAAAATAAAACGAAATGAAGCCAAACCTTACCTTCCATCTTCCTCCTGAGATTTGCGATCCATCCTTGGTTTTTCTCCCATATTCGATTAGTCCCCATCCACCTGTAGGCCAAACTTCATTCAATTGCCATATGAGCAAGCCTGTTGAAAATCCGTGAGAATCATCGAAATTAGAGTTCCTATCCATCAACCAGAGTTTTGTTTAGTCGTACCTAAATAGTTTTGGCTTCGTCTTGACTCAATTTCTCCTTTCATCCACAATGTTTGAGATATAAGGCACATGTATAGCTGTTTAATGAATGCTGCTTTGCCGACCGCTGACAACTCCTCCTCTTCCACCCCAAAATAAGCACGTATATGGGAGTCGCAAGGGTAGTTCTTTTGAAAATGCACGAATGATTAGATGACAATAGAGCAAAATAAATTGATATCGATTTTAGTTCGAAAAAGCCACCGTACAATCATTGTTTTTAAAACGCGAAAGAAAACAATTGATCTCGGGCCCTTACCCTCTCTGCCATAATGTTTGTACCCTTGCATCTATTTTTATTTCCATAATCGATCTCACAATCGTCAGGATCACCACCTCCGTGTAGACTCCAGTGCTTCGTGCTAATTGTACCTTTCATGCTTTCAAACGAGGACATTGTTGATGAGCCGAATTCCGATGCGAACTGATTTGGATGATCATAACCAATATTGACCTTTCTCAATTCAGGGGGAGTATTTCTGTACGGAAAATTGACATCTAAACCATTCACTCCAGGATATGAATGAGAAAAGGACCGCATGTATGGACCGTGAGACTCTAAATGTGTTGAGAAGGCGTCAGGCTCCCAGGTTGTCAGATTCCTATTGTTTGGTAGGGGGCGACTATCAATACGCCTTACACCTGTTTATAATGCATTATAACGTAGCAGGTGAGAAAAAAAGCTTTTGCAATCGCCAACTATATCCGTCAGTTATTCTCACCTGATTTCCACCCATGTTTCGAAGGACTACTAGGCCAAATTGGCCTTGTATCATCCTCCTCTGCAACTGTCTCCATGACAAAATTTGCATAGATTTCGGATGGGGTCCCCATTATCACTTCGCACTCATTGCAACCATTCCAAACAAGTAGGCTGGGATGAGAGGCAAGAGATCGGACCAAGTGTCGTATCTCGTTCGATATGGTGATTGTTTTGAAAGGGCGATGACCGCCTTCTTCCACAAACATCATGTCATGATAGATAAGAATACCTTCTTCATCACAAGCATCATAAAATGGGTCAGGTGGCACCATTCCTCCTCCCCATACTCTTATCATATTCATGTTTGCTTTCGAAGCTGTCTGGATGCCAATTTTGTGTCCTTCACCCGTGAGCCGTCCTTCTAGTTGATCCATTGGAATAAAATTTGCGCCGCGAGCCATTAGAGTCGCTCCATTGATTCGGAAATACATACCAAACTGACCACTCCCTTCTGTTGATTCCTGATGTGCCGCAGTGATATCAATATTTTTGCTTTCATTGATGGTCACAAGTGCACTTGTGCGAAACCCGACCCTTCTTTTAATCCACCTACAGTGAATAAAAGTAGTTCCTACATAGATGTTGTAAAGAGGTTGTTTTCCCATACCATTCGGCCACCACAAATCGATTGAATCTTTCCGTACAATCAAGTTAATGCTAATGACTTGTGAAAGTTCTTTGAAGCTTTTAGGTGCTGGAATCGGAATTATTGTCTCGACTTGTTCGGCGAAATTGGTCTTTAAAATTACCGAGGAGTTTGAGGCGAATCTATTGAAGTTGGTGGTGACAAATTCGAGGTGTACATCAACAGTAAGACGAAAGTCGGCTTCTGCCTTTCTCAATGGCTTCGCTGGATACTTTCCTAAATAATATATTTTTGGAACCACATGAGATACGTAAAACTGTTGAATCCCGACTCCGATTATATAAACTGGTTTAACAATCCCCAACGTGAAGATGTCAAGTTGCTGAGCATCCCTCACTTTCGTGTATGGGCTCCAATCCCAGCCCCCCGAACATCCTTCAAATGAAATGAAGACAGTATCAAATGAGTTCTATGTTGTCAATGGAGATTTTTCTTCTTGCAATTGCATGTCCGGAAATACTTTGTGCTTTATTCGCATGCCTAAAGAGTTTAATTAGAATAGTACTCGAACTCACCAGAGAATCGTCCGTTCACTTGAATAGTTGGATCAAACACAACTGTCAAGTTGTGGTGACGACTATGATCGAGAGGTAACCCCTTTTCTAAAATATAATCTTCAATCTGAAAATCATATCTCAAGAATTGATCCACAGCCTGTCCAATCTGTACATTATTGACGTAGATATCAGCTCCCATTTTAATACCTTCCAAAACCAGTTTCCATGACACTTTCTCTGAGTGGCGTGTTGACAATTTGAACGTGGTAGAGTAGATCCAAGTCCTCTTCTGTTGGAATATCTTTCCGTTTGAGTCATTATGTTTCTCACTTTCGATACTACTGGCGTTGTAACCATCAGTTGGGCCCCACTGATTCTCCCCTGTCCATACAAACCGCTGGGTCAAAAAGTTTCGATCTATGTATGGATCATCGATGAGTCCATTCGCGATTAAGTCAGACAGAAGGTCTCCTGGGACTTTAGCTGTCAAGTTTGTGAACACAAGATCACTGCTCGAAAGACTCCAATGTTCATTTTCCAAGGGAATGACAATGTCTGAGAGGATATTTGAAGTAGTAATGAAGGTTTTGTTTCCACTGGAGAACATCAAATTCGCGATGAAAATGGCGCAGATCGCAGTCTTTCCGGAAATTGACATTGCACATGCGACCCGTCGTCAAGTCGTTTAGGTTTTTTGAAACGATTTAGTTGTGGCACATGTAGACTTCTCCATGATGCCATTGGAAAGTGAAAGAAATGAAAGGGATTCTGCACCTTTTTACAGTTCATTTACACAGTTGAGGTTCTTCAATCTTTTCGAAACGAAGTGTTTCCTTTTTCGCGAAGATATCGCACGGTACGGTACAGTATGGTGAAAAGTTTATTGTTGCTCCATTATTGTTTTCGTCCTGTACCGAAGTACCATACTAGAGCTACTGAGTACGGGCCCCCACATCACATAAGGCAATATTATTGGCAACTGTTTCCTTACACGAAACAGCCTCTGTAACGAGCCCTTCGCGTGGTTTCCCATGAACTCTAGGGTTACTTAGTATACACTGTGTTGGTGGGTTAAGCAGGTCCTATGGGAAACTGCAGCAACCCCAACCCTCTTCCATGTGTCGGGCCTTCCCCCTTTAGGGTTAAGGCTTGGAAGGGAGGGGAAGCTGCAGCATCCTCAAGCCTGCTGATCCTACACCACCAGCACACGCATACTGTAACTACTAGCTGCTGCCAATGGGCCACAGGCCAACGGGTCGGAGCAAAGCGTGGGAGGGAGGCGCCGGAGCGGAGCGCCGTGGGCAAGCAGGGTGCGACGGGCGGAGCGCCTTGGCAAAGCGCAGGGCGCTACGAAGCTGAGGGAACGGATTCTTCGGGGAGGAAGCTGTAGGTGCCATCGTTGAACATGAGGGAGGCAAGGTTTCGGAACAAGGGGACCGATTGTTGGTGGAGGTATCGCATCATGGCATCGCTGTGCCAACGCGCGAGTAGTTTAATGACGTTGGAGTCACATTGGCCCTGGAGAAGGGCCATGGTTCCTCCGGCCCGCAAGGAGCGGGCACTGAGGGAAGCCGGGGCAATGCCCGTGGTGTGTTGCAAGATGGCTGCATGCCATCGCATGGTTGTCGTGATCATCGTGGATGTGATCCGTACGTTGGCCCCACTGGTGGCGTCGTAAAAACTGGCCAGTTTGACGGAGCCATTAAAGGTGGTGGAGTGGTGCCTATGCAGGAGGAATTGCCGTATCACTGCGGTCACCGGGCAGCACAGGGGGTCTGTGCTGCGGGCATGTGCGATAACATCCCCTTTAATGCCATTTTTCTGTGTGGTGAAAGTGAGCTGGATTGAAGTGGCGGCACTGATATCCGCATCGGAGGCTGCGTCGGAAGACAGCCGGCGAGTACCCACGAAGAAGGCGATGTCATCGAGGGAGAAGGCTTGGTCATCTGATGTGGTTCCTGTGTATTCCCCTGGTCTCAGACAGAAGAAGAATGCTATGCAGATCATATTGGCAACAGCCTGGCGTTGCGGTGTAGGGCTTTGGTGGTAGGCGAAGTTTAGTGCGTGTATGACGATAGTGATAGGGACCGGCTTCACTCGAGCGGGGGGGGTGTCCCGTTTGCGATAGGCCCGCAGTTGTGAAGTGATACGGTAATCTATTGCACCAAACTGGTTGAGGCGGGGATCTTGGGCCGGGGCCCCCATCCTGGTGATCTTCTGGCCCACTGAACGGATGGCGTCACATACTGTATGAGCTCGTGCACGCTTGCCGCTGGGGGACAATCTCCCATCTTGGTACCTGGCTCCAAAGACTTGTAGGTACGGGACTGGGTCTTTGGTAGTGCGGAGGAATGGGTCCAACTTGTGTGACATGCAGTAGTGAAACCAGCATTCCCAATGGGCATCCTTCTTCTTGGCATATCCAGCAGTAACGCTGGATCGCATCTCCGTTTGGATAAGGCTAAGATCAGTGCGGAATACATGGGCTTCCTGAGCTGGCAGCTTTGCCAGGGCAAGCTCTGAGGGAAGAAACKGTTGACATAGGCAAGCAATTGTGAGTCTGAGAGGTGCCAGGCCCGGGAAAGGGTATCCGCCATAGTATTTGCGGGCCCTGGGATGTAATCATGTCTAGGTACGTATCGGAAGAGCCGCTGGTGAAGGGACTGCAGTCTCAGGAGGTATGCTACTGGTCCTGTAGCCGTGGCTGCTCCCTTTCGCTGCCAGTGTACTGTTGCGGTGTTATCATAGAGGTTGTGGACTGTGCGTTCCCCAACCGCTGCGGCTTGAGCCAGTATGTCGATATGGGTGATGGATCCTGCCAGTTCAAGCTCACTGTTGGTGATTGTCCCTGCTGGATTAGCAAAGGAGACCAAGTCACGGCGGATCCAGGCTGGGAACGGAGCTCTCCAGTACAACGGCTGAATTCGTCCGTCTGGCAAGGGGATGAAGTGCACTCCTCCCATCCCATCGCCCGCTGCATCACAAGCCCCAATGGTGGCTGGCCATAGATCAGGTACCAGTTCGGCTATGCGAGTGGGCCTGCTCGCTATATCCTTGGCTAACCATTGGAAGTCTTGCAAGAAACCATGTAGGGCCCGTGTGAGTCGCAGGCGGTTACGGCCCTTTTCCTGGTGGCGGAAAGCTTCCTGCAGCATGGAGAACAGGCCCAAGGAACCAGGTAGTGCTAGGGACATGGATCTTAACTCCCCCAGTAACTTGTGCCAGTCTGCCACCGTTGCATATTTTTGGGTGGGCTGAATGGCTTGGAGCAGTTCCTGCAGCCTTGCCACCCGGTGAGGTGGAAGGCTAATCGTCTTGGTTGTGGTGTCGATAAGCCATCCCAGTATCACCTTCGATGTTGTCCATGTTGCATCTCCCTTCTTAAGCTTCTTAATGGAGKCAGGCTCCTGTCTGTACGGAGTATCCTGCTTGTCCAGCGGCCGAAATACTTTATCCAGGGAGTGGAGCAGGGCCCTTTTCACAGCTCTCCTGGTCCACTGGTTCCCCTGTACCAAACCACAAAAATCATCCACATAGATGTCCCAGTAGCACAGCGGCTTCCGGGCCGGAAAGCTCGCCTCCCTGACTAGGGTCTCTGCCGGTTGCGGCGGTAGGGTTTCCTCGGCCTCCGCTGGTGGGGTCTCTGAGATCTCATCGAGGCGATGTGGTAACCTTCTCATCTTTCCAAGCCCCTCCTTTAGGAGGATGCCATTGGCTAGGTCTGCCACCGTTTCAGTGCATGCACTGAAGTTTGGTGGTGATGAGCACCAGCCCATGGGATTCGTAAGGGGGATTCCTACCAGCGGCTGCTCCCCTTCCCATTTCGGAAACAGAACTGCTAGACTAAGAGTGTCCTCTGGCTTCACCCAAAGTCTGTAGAAGCCATCAGACAGGTCTATTTTGGAAAGATACACTGGCCCAAACCGGCTGTTGGCACTGTGGATCCGCTGCAGGAGGCGTTTCAGTGCTCGACCAAATTGCATGGCCTCCGCGGGGGCCAAGKGGGCCGTTTCGGCATTAACCCCAAAGTAACTGTAATCAGAGATCATGCGGTCCCTCCGCCCTCGCTGTGGCACGAGTCCCAACGGGCTTAAGCAGAGCCCTGGGATTCCGGTGACCAGACTAGCCGGTAAGACAGTCCATTGTTGCTTATCCATCATATCCGCATACTCCTCTCGCAGGAATTCTATTCCATTGTGGGAAGACTTGTGCGGTCCCCTGGCTAAGGCTCCTGCTATACGGTCTGCTCCCCAGGGAGGTGACGTCATTACCGCTGGTGTTCCTTCCTGTTGGAAACTGTGCAGGAGTGGTGCTGCCGGGTGTGGGAGTTCCCCAACCTCAGGATGGAGGTCCCCCCTTCCCCTAACCGATCGAACGAAGTCCCCCCAACAGTCTGCTTGGTGAAAGGCTGTAACCGCTTTGGTGACATGAGCATCGAGCCGGTCGTATGGATAGATGGTAGTAAGTGGCCATTCTCGGGCCTCGGTTGTTGTGTGTGGGGCCCTGGGGGACTCGACCCTCGTGTATACAGGCTCCCAGGGTCCGTCCGCAGGCTCTCGTTGGCCGCCGGCGTCCCTACGGTGTGTTGTACCAGGACCAGCGTAGTCTCGGCTCTCCTCTGGTGGTGTCTGGCTATTAGCGTTGGGGGAGGACTCAGGAACGGGCTCCTGTCTCCTCTTACGATTGTGTGGGATATGCTCTTGTGTACACTGCTTACCTAGTTCTACAGGGGAGTGAGTCATTTCCCAATCCGCTGCTGTATTCTGCACCCGCCTCTTCTGTCGTTTAAGCGGGGGCAGTGGCACAGCAGCTGTGTGACAAAGAGCAGGCTGCCTGCCCCCTCTTCATTGCTCCGTGCTGGTATAAGCCTCTTGGCACCAGGACCAGAAACGATCATCTTCCTCGGCTGTCGACTCATTGTGGTCATACCCCAGCCTGCAGCCATCATAACAGAAGCCTTTGGCGCGCCAGGAGTGGCACATCTCCTTGCCATCATTCCGGAGACAGGGCCCCTTTCCTTTTGCCTTCATACTGCTCATAGCCTTGGCAATCTTCCAGTTCTTAAGCCGAGTTTTGAGCTCCCCTTC